AGAATTTTAGCTTGAATGATTAAAGGAAAGTATGTCTCCTCTTTTCTTAGTATGCTAAGGGTATTGAACAGAACTGTGACTGAAAATTGAGTGTGTCTTTAAAACAAACCCCAAGGCTAAGTGAAAGTCAGTTTATAGACATTTGGGAATTTGATTTGTTCACATCTTCCCATCAGTTTAAAAAGATCTGTGCTAATATTTCTGTAAAGTAAAATAATAATAGCAAAACACCCCCACAACTAATTTCAGAGTGCATAGGAGAGAAAGTCCAAAAATGTTTTGCAAAGTGCTGGCTACCCTAATAAATTACTTGTTTTACTTTTAAGATGTAGTGAGACACACATTTGCATACAGATGTGCACCCAAATTATTAAAAAAAGTCAAACAAGAATTGCCTTAAAATGCCAACCAGTTCAGATTTTATTGCTCATAATTTTTTTGGTTTTTTTTTTTCTTGCAGGTCTCATTAATCAGTTCATTAATCATACATGTACCTTAAATAACATTAATATCTTGTGTTTTATAATCTTAACCCCCAAATATAGTGCTAATCACAAGATATGGAGTGATGAGGCTTTGAAGAATGCTGTGTAATCTCATATATACAACTTCTGTGTTTATGGAATGGAGTGGTGATGAGTTTGTGTGGGCATGAACTCAAAGTGAAGTAAAGCAAAGCTGGTGTTACAGTAGTGTGAGACTTTTTCTCTGATTTTAGAAAAATATACTTAACCCATGAGGCTGTGAACAGACTCTTACAGATATCACAAGTGACCAGACTAGCAATGTACACAGAATAAGAACTGTGCACACGAAGGGTCTTACAGTGGTTGTGTCATAACTGGGAACTGTTGGTAAGTACATTTCACAAAATTGGTGCTATCTGGATTTCTCTTACATTTGTCACAATTTCAGCACAGAAACTGTTGGCTGCAGGTGCTGCTAAGTACAGTATGCATTGTGGAATTGCACAGAAATTCCTGGGACATAGGAGGAACTTGCTGTCTACTCACTTCTTAAATTGTCTTATCTCTTGCTATATTTAGCAAAAAGGCAAGAAAAAATTATGGTATTAAAATTTATTTTAAAAAATCAGTTTAGAGGTGGTTTGCACTTAAGAAAAAATATTGTTTATTTTCAGTGTTAAAATGTTAAAATGGCTTAATATCTAAATGGAATGCTGTAATCAATGTTTTAATTCCTGTTCCATAGTTTCTAATGCATGTCACTGTGGGACCTGTGGTATTGGAATATAATTCTCATCCATTAGGATAAATGCATTTCCCATGATTACAGCACTCTGAAGGCAGGACAAAAAAATGTGCAGTTTTTAAATGAGATTAACATTGAGAAGTTTATATCCTCTCTTGGACACCAAGAAATATTTTTTGGTGACATTATCAGTTTTCTACAAAGCATCTCTTAAAGTGAGGAGGTGTTTTGTTCCTACAGTTCTTGGCTTCTTTGTACCAAAACTGCTGCCTTGTTTAATGACATTGCTATGTGGGCTGAAATTAGGCTGACAGATTGTGAGCAAAGGCTGTGATATTACAAACAATAGTCTATTGAGCACGAGGAACTTGTTGAATTAGTTACCGGAGGCATTAGTGCTCAGTCCAGCCTCTTTAGCATCTGGAAGACAGAGAAGAAATAGTGGGCTAATGAAATGTCCAAATGACACCAAATTGCAGAGGGCTGCAGGTGACAATGGCAGCTGACGTGTGCCTGGTAAGAGGCAAAAACTAATAAGAAACCAATAAACTCACAAAAAGAAAAAAATAGTGCGTTAGGAGGGAAAGGAGTATTCAAATCAAGAGATAAAACCATATTGGGGTTCCTGAGGAATCAAGCACACAGATTATATTTTAAGGGCTCTGCTGGATCTGAGATGGGTTTTCCAGAGCAGACTGGCAGTTGGTTCAGCACACCAGTTCTTCACCATCCATGATTCCCCTGACATCAGTACAATTCTCCAGTGGTAGTTTAGGGATCCTGAGGACCCTGTAAAGCAGTTCTGAGTGGGTCATCTGTTCCCCATCCAGTTCAGGTTAGCTTGATGTTGAAACTGAATGTGCAAAAGGTCAAAATCAAGGTCTCATTTTGCTCTGTTTTAATTATTCAATTAATAATCTTTTAGTTTCTTATGCCTTGAAGTACAAGTTTTTAATGGTCTTTGAACTTTAAGTATGAATTTAATTGCTTCTGTGTCCTTCTTTGGGAGTAATTCCATCAAAATTTGCACCTCTGCTCTGTGCTGCAGATAACTTAATCCATATCTGGAATTGCTGGGATTGCTGGGAAGCATGTATATTAGTTTATCAGCTGACAAGATGGACCTAGCCCACCATCTGTGTTCATACAGCCTGCTGCCTTAACCCTAGGGAAGCTGCCAGGATCACATGCACAGCTCAGCTGAAGTGAATTCACACACCAAACCTTGTCCAGGAAAATCTAAATCTGTGACCTGTGATGCAACTGGAATCTAAACATTCAGGATGAATACCTTGGACTACCTAAATCCTGAAATATCCAAGGAATATTATTAACCCAGCTGTGTCATTTATTCATGATATTTAATGAAAAATAAAACAAAATGAAGTCACTTAATTATAAGTATTACAATGGAATAACTTGGTTTTACCATTCCTTTTTACTTTGGATAATAATCTGTAGGAAATCTTAGTTTGCATTCACATTTGAGTTCAGTTGTTAATAAGGGATGGGTCTGACTCCTGTGGCAGAATATGCATTTAGATGTTTTCAGCTAAAGCCAGGAGCTGAGGTGGGTTGGCTTTGCCCACCCAGTGCTCTCTCACCCTCACTCCTCACCAGGACAGAGGTGAAAATGAGGTGAAAAAGCTCCTGGGTCAAGGTGTGGACAGGGAGGGCACTCACCTGCTGGCAGGACTCTCTGCTCTGGGGAGACTCATTTATTGCCAGTTAAAATAGGTTTGCATGGTAAAAATCAAAGAGAAATTAAACCAGTGCCTTCTCCCTGCCCTTCCCTGTTTCCCAGGATCATCTTCCCAACACAAGGATCTGTGCAAGGAGCAAGGGCTGATCCTTCCTTGCTCCCCTACTCCACCCTGGGCCTTTTCCCTTCTCAGGACTGCAGTCCTGTCAGGAGCACCTGCTCCAGCCTGGGTCCTCCGTGAGCCACTGCTCCTCCAGGAGACACCAACCTGCTCCATCCTCTCCCCACAGGACACAGGGCTCTCTGTGGTGGCTCCCAGAGCATCCCCTTCCCTCCTCCTCCTCAGTTCTCCTCAGGCTCCCTCGCTGCTCTGCCTGTGTAGGATTTTGCCCTTCACTGGACACATTTTCACCACCTGGGCTGAGTGGCTGGGCTGTGCCATGGGTGAGGCTTTCTGGAGCCATCTGGGAATGTCAGGAACAGGCTGGAAGGGGCAGGGGCAGCACAGCCTCTCCAAGAGCCAGGCCTGCAGCCCCACTGCCAGCACCTGGGCACGGACACCCACCATGGCAGGTGACATTATGTGTGTTTGGCAGAGGAATTCTGGCTTTGCAATAGAGCTGTTTTTTCAAATATTTCCAATGCCAAGTGTCTCCTTGAGGCGAGCCCTCAGGAACAGATTGAGAGCTTGGAGCAGATCTCTGCAGAGGGAAGCAGTGGAAAGAATTTTCTTCTGAAAAGAAGGATGTGGGTAGGAAAGTGGAGGATAACATTAAAAATAGAGAAGATTAAACATGTTTCATTAGTAAAGCCAGAAACAATTTAGGATAAGGTAGAAATCCTGGAACTGTATTGATAAACAGAATTAAAAATGTCTTTTTCCCTCTTCTTTTCCAGCCCAGAGCAGCAGATCAGCTGAATTATGCTGCTCATGCTGGTACTGAGCAATGTATTGCCAGAGAACAGTCCTATTGACTGCAGTGGGACTTGCTGAAGAGGGAATCATTTAGCTCAAATAACCTTATAAATACACATTAGCACCCAACAGTATATTTCCAACCCAAGAAGATACATCTAACCCCCAAAATATATTTGAAACCATAGACCCAAGTTTTCAGTGCTACTTTAAAAAAAGAAATATAATTTAACATATGAGCTAAAACATGGCCCTGTCTTACAAGATGAGATGGGTTTTGGATTGGATCAGGAAAATGTAAAGTCTTATTTTTGTAGTGTATAAATGAAATGGACAGTCCAAACCCTGTCTCTAAAAATCTTGGCACACTTCAAAGGAAATATACCATTTGAGCAATTTAAAAGCAGTTAGTGGGTTTTTCCAGTGCTGAACTTCATTTCTATAGCTGGTGTGGTTGCCTGCTGAATAATGCCATAGGGGAAAATATAGCTCTGACTATATTTAAAAATACTATTCCATGAAATTCACTGGGAACAAGTTGAAGCAAAACCTCATTTTTGTCTTTGGAAGGAGGTGATAGTGGCTGTAAATGGTGAAGGAGAAGGTTTGAGATGGTTTTTGAATCACAGAAGAGATGAAGGCTGAACCATCTTTGGGGTGAGAGGGATGCTTAGAGCAACAGCCAGAGGGGCCAGGCAGAAATCTGGGAACTTTTTAATGATACATGGACTTGAAGATGAGCAACAATTGGAGGCAAAGAAATCCTAACAGGTGGGGACTAAAAGACCTGCAGAGACATCGTTAGAAAAGCAAAAAAAAAAGAAAAAAGGAAACAATTTAAAGGATGTTAGAACACATAATTGGAATATTCAGATAAGAGGAGACAAAAGGTCAATTTGATTGAATAATAAAAATCTATGTTTTCTTCTTTTTGGTGTACTCATATGCATGTAGCTTACTGCTACATATTTTATTTTGTAATTACAGTGAAGCCTTTAACAATAAATCTGAACTACCTTTAAAAATTAATTCTGTATTGTCATAAGGCCTATTTTACTTGTATATTTTAACCAACGGAGCTAGAAGTTTTAAAAACTTCCCTCAGTGTTGTTCCTGGAGAGTTGATCAGCCATCCATTAAAACTCATCCTGTTTCATCTGCTCCTGGCAGGGAACCTTGGGCGGGTGGACCACGTCACAGAGTTTGAGTATGACCTCTTCATTAGGCCAGACACCTGCAACCCTCGCTTCCGAGTCTGGTTCAACTTCACCGTGGAGAACGTGAAGGAATCACAGGTGAGTGATAATAAATGAGATGGTATGCTAGCTTCAAAAATTGCTTACTCCAGTATATGTTTTCTTTGACAAAAAAGATGACACCCTGGATTTGCAACTAAAAATTGCTTTAAAATGTATCTTTGTTCTTTGAATTTTTTATGAGCAAAAGCAGGTATCAGCAGGAGTGGGTATGGCCATGCTTTTCAGCTGTCCAAGACAGGAGGTAATTGCAAATGCAGTATAATTTTTTGTCAGGCAACCCAGTATAATTTTTTGTCAACTAACAGAACTGGTATTAATAATGGCTGTCACGTGTTTCTGCTTTTGCATTCTAACCAAATATGTGTTTATATACGAAAAAGAAGTCCATCATAGCTGTTCAAATATTATCACTCAAGCCTTCATTTAATACCTGTAGAACAATGGGGTAGCTGTGCAAACAGGAGTTTCCCTAGTGACTTGTAGCAGAGGAGTTGCTTGCCAACGTGTCCCTTGTGAAAGAGGAGGTTTAAATGTGAAGCAAATTGATAGGCAACTGTTTCACTTACTTTTAAATAATGTTTTTTGAAGTAAAGCTGCCCCTTGAGAAAGAAACTTCCTTGTTCTATTTTATCTCTTATAAAAGTTATATACTAACTTTCACATTGAAAAATTAAAAAAAATATTCTTTTCACTCTTCATATGCGCCTTGAATTTTGTTCTGGTGGCCTGCCTTAGTTTATCAGAATCAGTCTGTTATTTTTACTTAATGGAAATAAAGCATATTTAGTAAGAGAAAAAAACTGCAGAAGCTTGATAGTTGTATTCCTACGAGACTAATATCTTAATATCCAGCACTGTATCATTCCTGTTACAACTGGAAATCATGAAATTGTTTATCTATCGTCCTGGAGCCTGATACTTTATCAGACAGACCCTTTCCCCTGCTGTGCCTTACTCAACTCTGATCAAATTATGTAGTCATGAGATGAATGGGAATCTGTCTCAAGGAGGCAAAGAGATCGGGTAGAAAGATACAATATATATCTAGTGCTTACAGGATATTTGTTTTCATGGTTGTCTACATGAAAGAGAATGGTTCCACTATTAAGTTTGACTTGTGAGGTCTGTTTTTATAATGTGTGCTCCTATAATCTTTTTCTCATCTCTCCAATTTCCGTTAAAATGAGACCTGCCTGGACGTAATCTAGTCTGGAACCTTTTTTAGGTCTTTGTACTACAGGCCATGGGCAGCATTAGTCATTGCAGCTCAGCTATATTAAATGAAAGTTAGAAGTTGCTACATCAAACACACTGTGTAATGTAGTTTGTTTTCTGCATTTTGATTATGTTTTACTAGAAAACAGTAACAAGGAGGCCCAAACTGTTCTGTATTGCTTCAAAATGTTGCACTAATACAAATACAGAGAACGTTTGATCACATTATATGTAAAAGTAGATATTTTAATAGCTCTCCATAAATCATTACCTGGATAATACTGTATTTATTTTTGATATATCATATAAGTAATGGGTGAAGAAGGCACATTTATACATTTATATATATTAGGTCTGGTTTCAGCCTTTTGGATAAGGAATCACAAAGAGTAGGTACTTTTGTTTTTTACATTACCTATTTGTACAGAATTTTGTTTTATTAATCTACTGATAAATGAAAAGAAAGGCCAATTATACATTCCAGCTAATCTTACCATCCATGCATTATTCTACAAGAAAACAGGTTCTTTTCATTCTTCTGGTTTTAATTTTTTTAAGTCATGGAGCAAACTGTTTTATAGACTCCTCTCACTTACAGTGTTGCTTGATTTTTAGCCTAAAGCTTTCCTTTATTTAATCCCACAATTCCCAGTTGCAATTCTGCTTAGTAATAACTCCTCTTGGTGCAAATAAATCCTCATCATCCCTGACTAACATTTATATTTCTGTGAATTATAACATTCCTCATCATTTGTGTGTCAACCTAGCTATCATGTTTGGTTCTTTCAGCCCTATATCCAATAGACCACTTTACCTTTTAAGTATTTTTCCACTTTGGGGCCTTTGGACTTTTATCATAAGTGAAACTTTCAGTCCTTTGATAATTAGCCCAGTTTCCCAAGGAAGTAAAGCTTATATGATCACACTGTCTACTTGCTAGCCTAGGTGTTTGTATGGCTGCTGATCCCTCTCCTCTCTTTTCTCCTTCAATAGCTTCTTAACTCTTGGCCAGTTTCAGCACCACTGGACAGGAATTCCTGTAAGTTTTGGGAAAACAGGCTGCCAGATGGGCAAGAGACCCATTAGTGTTCCCACTGGCAGACAGGCTATAGTATGAGATCATTTCTTATTAAACATCAGAGAATCCACAGAGGAGATGAATAGAAGAAAGTACTCATTGGAATTTGCATTTTTAAGATACCAGAGAATCCAACCATGAAATCCAAATCCTTAGCATTTAGTAATTTTGCTTCTTGCAGAACTTCTTGTTTTTATTATTATTCTTCCTCTTCCAGTTCCTTCAATATTTTCTTTATAGTGCGGAACTAAAATTTAATGGATAATTCTGAGTATGCTAATCCCAATTTACAGAGAAGGGGCTTGAGTCCCTTTGCTCTGTTACTGCCTCACTGTAGACAGCTGGAAATTGCAGCAACCTTTTGTTGCTGTATCACTATGGAAACTCAGGCCTAATTTGTTTTTTCCCTATCATACAGAAGTCTATTTTAGAGTGATTGCTTCCTTGCTCCTGTTACGTATGTCTGAGGTTACTGTTGTGCTTCATAGGTAATAGAGCTAAGCTCTGTGCCATGCCAGTGACAGCCCTAATATTTCCAGATTTATTTTTAGAATTTTATTATAAACTTGGTTTATTTGATGTTCACTTCCTTACATTGAAGTAAAACCAACAGACGTTTTTTTAATTTGGAAGTTGGTAAATTAATTTCTTCCTCCTTATAATTTGGGCTCCTACATCAGACATTTTTTGTTGTCAGTTTTATTTATACAACAAGGAAAAAAGATTAAAAAAAAAAGCTAATGCCTTATGTTTATGGGGGGAAATGAGCCATCATGTAAGATACCTGAAAGATGTAAAATTTGGTCTTTTGGTCTCCTTACATGGTTTCTGACTTGGTACTCAGTTGGTCTGAAAAGATGTGAACTAGGATTCTTTTTTTGTTACTTGTTTGGTGAATTCAATTAACACCAATATTGGAAAAGAAAAAAAAGAAAGTGATATATGTAAGGAAAACACATAGACTTTTATGATTTACACATAGCCATGAAAGGGAGAGTGAAGGAAATAGGATTTGCTGTGGAACACATGGTCTCATGGTCAAAGCCTCCAATTTCTCTAATTATATACGTGTCACAGGCTGCTCTCTATTCCTGATAATGCTCTTTACTGGGCAGGGGTTGCTTCCTATTCACTTCAGCCAAGGCCCTTCAAACACCATCTACGATTTTGCTAAATTTCTTCTCTGCGCAGTCGGAAATTGGATGAACAAATTTCATCTCCCAATTGCATTTCAAGTATTTTAAATACACAGTGCTTCAGGTGCAAGATTACCTCTGAGCTAGAATGGCTTTAATGCTATTACTAGCAACAGTGATTCATTTGAGTCATTTGAGCTTTTTCGGAAAAAAAAGAAATGTGTGTACGTGTGATAAATTATAAAAAATATGCTGGTATACTGATATTGGAGGATTTTACAGGTGAAAAGAATGATTATTTTTTTTGAGGGCCATAGCCAGAAATTCTTCTCAAGTGCTTGACATTCACTGTTCCAGATCCTGTAACCACACTGGAAAAAGATGATCTTTGTCATAGAAAATTTTCTTTTGAGCAATTTGAGAAGAGATATAGGTTAAGTACAAGAAAGTGATGAAAGGATTAAAAATATTTGAGGATTTTTGATTTAACACACAGCAGCCATATTATACCACTAACTAATGCACATCTAGGCCTCACGACAAATTCTGTGTGTGTGTACCCTGAGGAGTTCTGCTGTCTGATGAATCATGTTGAGAAATGGTATTTTCACTGAGATTAAAAAAAGAATTTCCAACAGAAGGGGTTTCCTAATAGTGCCAAATTTTGTTCTGTAAGTGTTGATAAACACATTTGGAGTTCTTCATCACAAAGTACTGACAAAATATACCAAGAAGGATAGAGGAGAAGAATGGATATTTGGCAGCTAGGACTTGATCATTACTTACAGTTAATAAATCAATCCAGATTGAGGTTAAAATCAAAGAACCAAATGTTATTTACTTCAAAGGCATTTTCTCTGTTACTTCAGTTGCTGTTGGACTGAAACTAGAATTTTGACTCATGAATTTTTTTGGGTTTTTTATATGTGAGTATGGACCAGGAAAAAGGATAGCCTGTTCTTCAGAATTTTAAACAGGATGCCCAGGTAAGACAGAGATTATCATAGCTGGACATTATTATGAATGCATGGAACTGTCATTGTAGAATTTTATGGTGTTTTGTCCTACACTGTTTTGTAAAATATAAAAGACTGTAAGATGTTTGTTGTCTTTAATTGATTAGATATTCAGGAAATATTTGTTATTGACAGTGGATTTTATAATATGTTCAGGCCTCTTTTTACTGTCCTCAAACAACTCAATGATCCTTAGCAGACAACTGCTTCTTTATGATCCTACAGCTGTGATTGTTTAGAGATATGAGTGATACGTGTATAGGGAGAGATAATGTCTCTCTTTGTACCAACTGACACATTTTGGAGAAGCAGGGAGGAAAAAAAGGAAAAACAGGCATAATTTGAGGTACTCAACCTTTTTTCTGACCTAAGAACTCATTCTGTGCAGTTAATTCCTGCAGAAGCTGCCTCCAAAGTAAGATGGAGTGAATATGACATCAAAAGCAGGCTAAAGTTGGAAACAGGCTACCTTTTTACTTTCTTCTTAAGCAGACATGCTTTGCTCTACTGTCATTTGGGGATTTAAGTTGCTGGTATCAAGATCCTTTATAACATACTCTTTCCAGCTTCTCATTTGAGAAGACAGATATT